CCCCAGGCACATGCCTCTATGCATTGCACACACAGCCATTCAAACGCCCCTTGCACACACCCCTGTGCACACATGCCCCAGTATACACCTCACACACACCTCCCATGCACATGTGCGGGGGCTCTTATGCACACACGCCCCCCCCCATGCACCATTCAATGCACGCCCCTGCGCACACACATCCCCATGCACATTATATGGGTACTCTTGCACAAATCCCCGCATGCACCGCCCAGTGCACACCCCACACACCCCTGTGCACACATCCCTGTGTACATGTACAGGAGCTCTTGCACACACATCCCCACATGCACATGCCTCCCCCCACGCATGCTGGGCAGTACCTGCAGACGCCACAGGTGAGGTTGCCAAGGTCGGCGCAGTGCGGGGCACGGGGCAGGGAAGGACCACAGTCGCAGCCACAACTCGTCTCCAGCGCCACGTGCAGCTCCTCGGCCAGGCCCAGCACCCGCAACGTGAAGCCCTGAGTGCCCTGCAGGCAGGCGCCTGCCCGCACTGTCACCCAGAACTCCACCTGTGGGTGGGAGGGCAGTGAGCCGGGGGACCCTGCAGAGACCCCCTGCCCCATCCCGCCTCAACACCCCTGGCTCACCTGCTCGTTGATGTGCACCCCAGAGCAGCGCCCGCCCTCAGCCTGTGGGGGCCCGGCCTCCTCGGCCCCCGGCCCACAGTGCGACTCATAGGTCACGGACACGCCGGGCGGCAGCGCTGAGTGCTGCAGCTCCACCGTGGATGACAGGCTCTGTACAGGAGCGGGTCAGAAGTCCCTGTACCCCCCAGCCAGCCCCCTGCACCCATTGCCATCACTCTGCACCCACAGCCACCCCTCTGCACCCCCAACCAGCCCCCTACACCCCCCAGCCCATGCACCCATGTCCAGTCTTCTGCACCCCCAGCCATCCCTCTGCACCTGTGGCCAGTCCCCTGCACCCATAGCCACTGCCCTGCACCCCCAGCCAACTCCCTGCACCTGAAGCCAGGCCCCTGCATCCCCAGTCAGGCCCCTAAACCCCCAGCCAGCCCCCTGCAACCCCGGTGGGGTCTGGGGTCCAGGGTCCCAGCTCACATTATAGGCATCGGCAATGAGCTGCACCACGTTGCTGGAGTCCTCCTTCAGCTCCCCCACCACCGACTTGGGGATCAGCTTGCTCAGCTTCTGCAGGTGGGGGCAGCTGAGCGAGGCAGAGGCCCCCGACCCCTGCTCCACGCCCCAGGCGGCCCCCTTCCCCAGCACCCACCTGGTAGGCAGGCAGCGCCGAAGCCGTCACGGCGAAGATGGGCTGGATGTTGGCGGCCGAGAGCACCTGGGCCAGGTGCCCCACCGAAGGGTAGTCCTGCCGGAGAGGGTGCCGGCATCAGTGCCAGGCGGGGCACAGGACCCAGAAGTCCAGGTGCCCACCCTGCCGGAGGGACCCAGGAGTCCTGGTGCCCACCTTGCCCCTGTGCCAGAGCCCAGCACACACGGACCTAGGAGTCCTGGCTCCTGCTATAACCACTAAGCTTCACTTCTCCTCCAAGAGCTGGGGGCGTCCAGCTGCTTCCCTGCCCCAGTCCCATGCATTTTCCCTCCCTAGACCCCCCACCCACCACCACTCTTGGGTCCAGGAAAAGAACCCAGGAGTCTGGCCCCGCTCCCAGGCTGGCCCTGGCCCTGGCTTACGTAGACGTGGCTCTTGACATAGAAGCCATCAGGGCCAAGGTGGCAGCGCCCGTCACTTGGCAGGTAGATGCCACCCAGGCGCCCATCGCCGGCCGTGTGGAAGGTGTCGTCCGAGGTGAACACAAGCAGCCGTGTCACATTTCGCCACCCGATCTGCTTCTGGAGGGGCCGGGAGGTGAGGGCCTGGCACCACTGCGGCCCCCTGCCCGCTTGCATGGGCACCAGCACCGGCACGCCCAGGCCCTGTGCACCCCACACACTCGTGCACACACACCCCTGGGTACACGTGTGACCCTGCTTCCATACCCACCTCTGTGCACACACACCCTGAGCACCCTTGTGGGCTTGTGAGCACACAGCTGTGCACAGCACATGCTTGAATAGCCGCCCGCAGCTGTCTGCACATGTGTGCTCACCCCTCCTCCATTCACACTCACGCACACTCACGGCTGTGCACTAGCGTGCCCCTTCATTCGCACATGCACCAACACACTTGTGAGCACACAGTCACACACATGAGGCAACGCAAATGCACACTACAGTTGTCTGCACACATATGCTCACTCCTCTTCCATTCACGCTCATAGCCATGCATATGCACACCCCTTCATTCATGCACACACTGGTCCACTTGTGAACACACAATCCCAGTTGTGCATGCACAGACACATGCACACATAAAGCAAGATGAAAGCACACCCATGGCTGTCTGCACAAGTGTGCTCACACACCCATGCGCGTCCTTCCTTCCCAGCTGTACACACACCCTGCCATGCACACACACTTTTGTGGACTCAGCCTCCCTGGGCTCACACACGTGTGGACATACACAGCTGTGCAGCGCTCCCCCACTCACACAAGGGCCCCATTGCACCCGCATGTGAGCACCCACCTCGCACACGGCCACCTGCATGATGGCATCGAAGCCGCCCTCAGGCGCATCCAGGTTGCCCGAGATGCGCTGGTGCCCGACACGGCGCTCAAACTCGCTGGCGTTAGCAGTGAGGGGCAGCACGTGGTGGAAGCTGGCAGGGGGGGCGCACTGCTCGCCCCGCTCGGGGCACGGGTTCTGCAGCTTGGCCGGCACCGTGCTCACGTAGGGGCCACCTGCATGATGGCATCGAAGCCGCCCTCAGGCGCATCCAGGTTGCCCGAGATGCGCTGGTGCCCGACACGGCGCTCAAACTCGCTGGCGTTAGCAGTGAGGGGCAGCACGTGGTGGAAGCTGGCAGGGGGGGCGCACTGCTCGCCCCGCTCGGGGCACGGGTTCTGCAGCTTGGCCGGCACCGTGCTCACGTAGGGCAGCACCGTCTTGTCCACGAAGGAGCCGAAGCCTGCGGGGCCGCACGCCCGTCAGCCTAGGGGTGGGGGGGCTGCCCCAGGGGTCCCTGGCCTCAGGGACCCTGCCCCCAATCCCCGTCC